CATTCACTGTTAATTTGGCTCAACCAGTCTAATGTCACTTAGGCTAGGGACAGAAGTTACATATAAACCAGTTTAAGTGATCAGAAACTGGTTTAAACCTGTAACAAAACACAAGCTCAGTGCACATAAACCACCTTCAAAATGGCTTAAGCTGGTTTAAGATAAACCTGGTTGAATGAATATCAGATTTAACAGATTTGGGTCAAACAAGTTTTTGAAACTTCTGTCCCAGACCCCTTCCCAATTCAAGTTAAATTACAGTCCCCCATCATCCCAGAACACTTTGCAGCCCTGGGCTGGGCTGTGCTTCTGCTCCAGAGAGCAGAGCTGGCCCCGCCCCACTGCTACCTAGCTGTAGCAATGAGGGCTGGCTGACAAAAGGTTGGGGGGAGAAAGCCCAGCTTGGAATTCAGCCCAGTCTGCAGTGAGATGAGTGGGGGACTGCCCCCCCAAGCCCCACCCCCCAGCTGGTGTATGGGGCCAGGGAGGGGGTTAAACATCCCTTCCCACACTCAAATCTACTGATGGCTGCAACTGTGGACTACAAATCTCAGAGGCACCTGGGAAGCTGGAAGAGGAAGTGATGAGCAACCCTGCAGAATCCTGCTGCTGTAATTCTGGACTGCAAATCCCAGATACCTTGGAGACAGCAGGAAGAGGGAATGAACAGACATCAGAGCTGTGCTCTAGCACCCCCCAGGTTCTGGCCTGAGCCACTGCAGGCACGTGGCTGCATTTCCTGTGTCAAAGGTAAATGTCTGTTCACTTCTGTTTCAATTTAATTTGTGCATCTTAAACTGACCTGCAAAGACTGAATTGATTCAGCCTTGGGCTTTTTGACTGTCTATACCTAGCCATAATCTCTGGACTGAAGATAAACAGCTGACAATGTGAAGTATGAAGACACAATGCCAGGTCTTTTGCCCCCTCTTTCTTCCAGTATACTGTTCCCTCTCAAAGACAACCTCTCAAGGACAACCTGCCATCAGATATAATCACTAACACAGCTGTTTGGCTCAGGCAACTAACAGCATGTTGAAGAGCTGATAAACAAGAACAATGAATCCTTCATCACAATAAATGCTTTTTTCTGGAAATATATTTGTGTAACCGTACAAAACTTTTAGAAAAGCTTTGCTCTTAGACTGATATTTTAGTTGGAACAGAGGTTCAGGAGAGAAGAACTGATATTGTGGTTTTCTTACCTGCATGTAAGCATTACTTGGTTGGTGGCCTGGTTTCTGGGGCTGGTGTCTTTGATCCCTAGGCCTACGAGGTGCCTTCACAAACTTGGCAAAGCAAGAAAACCACTCTAGTGGTGCTCCCTACTTATGACTGTTCTGAAGATCTCTGCCTCTAGCTTGCTTTGCAGCTGCCACAGGAAGTGCCTCTGGAGTGGCATTACCACCATATTTTAAGGGATTCACATACCTAAGTGGGAGAAGGGAAGTTGGCAGAATTGAAAGCAGATAACTCCAGCCACATTTGGGGTGTGGTGAGGACATATTCTGAGCATAGATATGGGACAATCCTATCTCCTTGCATATTATCTTTTTATTTAAACAGTGCATAAGCCATTTGTCTATGTGAGAGATTTGAATTGAATCAGGTTGAAAAAGCCAGGATATTTTTTCCCACCACCATGGATTAGAATTTTTAGTTTTTCAAAATATCATTTACACATCTGTAATTGGTAATTTTGCAGTTCAGCAATAAGGGTGACCTGGGCAGCACATTTCTGCTTTTGCTGGATTAAAAAAAATATTTTTTTCTTGAGCTTCATGACTTCACCAGTGCTTATTCCATGACAAATTTAACATTCAAAGGCTGCTTCTCTTCTTCCAGGCACCCTAAAATATGAGGCACTTATGCAATCATGAATAAGAGTAAAATAAATAGTACTAGATTCATAGATGTTAGGGTCGGAAGGGACCTCAATAGATCATCGAGTCCAACCCCCTGCATAGGCAGGAAAGAGGGCTGGGTCTAGATGACCCCAGCTAGAGGCTTATTTAACCTCCTCTTGAAGACCCCCCGGGGTGGGGGCAG